ATTTCCCAGGTTTTTACAAGAGCTAGAGACAGCCCTTTTAGCAGGCACAACTGAGTTCCAAGCACAGGAAAATATTAAAATGCGCAGTAGATTATATTGTAACCTGCAACTTGGTATCCTTATTCAGGAGAGTACATATACATTTTATAACCAATAACCATTGTACTACAGTGTTTAACACAGCAGTATACAGAACAAGAAAGCTGCAATTTCTGTTCCTATAAAGTGCTACTCTAATTCGGCAAATGGATTGCATAAAACAGTACCTTCTTACTGAAAGACATCTCCTCTTTCTCTGTTTTTATAGTTAAACTCCTTTGGAAATGCTGAGATAGCAAAATATAAGACAGAAGTGTGAGATATGTGAATATTTTGAATGGTCGCACAGCAGCAATGTCTGAGGGTGATATCTTTTATTGGACCAACTGCATAGTTGGGAAAGAGCCAAGTTTTTGAATACAAGACATTCTTTTTCAGGTCTAAGGAATCCAAGGCAGCACAGCAAAGTAAAAAACAGTTGGAAAAGGGGGGACAGAAGTTCCCAGGGGTAGCAGACAAATAGTAAAAGAAAAGAAGCTGATTACTGAGAGATCAATGCCAATCAAAAGGGAGTAGTGTCATTATCACCTTTTATTAGGCCTGTGCAAAGTGGCTGGGATTTGCTTAGGATTCAGATTTGGCCAATTTGGGGGACAGTGCTTTGATTTGGTGATTTTGAATCACTGTCCCAAATCGATTCGACTGATCTCTGATTCAGAGATTCATCTACTGCCCGAATCTCCAAATCGGACAGGCCCTATCCCTACACTCATTCTCCTAGCCCCATTAATGGCTGCCCCACCCGACCCCAGCCTCCTGCCTCTTTTTTTAAAAAGCCCCCACTCACCAGCTGCTGCCAGGCTGGGGAGGGGCGATCCCTACTGCCCCACACTGTGACGGGCTCTGTCTTGAGCCCCCCTGGCCTCTGCCCACTCTCCCAGCCCGCCCCCCCCACCCCACCCCCTAGGCTGCCCTACTTGGCCTCAGCATCCTGCCTCTTTTTAAAAAGTAAATTTAGAAAAGCCCTTCACTCAGCAGCTGCTGCCAGGCAGGGTGACAATCCCCGCTGCCCCATGCTGCATGGGGGGCTCTGCCACAAGCCCCCAGAATCCCCAAGGCTGCTGCAGCAGCCAGTGAATGGGGGCTTTTTTGGTTTTGTTTTAAGAGCCAGGATAGGTGGGGCTGGGAGAGAATGTGAGGGTCGGGGGACGCTCAAGGGGCTGGGACAGCAGGCAGGTGTCCCCCATAGTCCCCTCTCTCCTCCTTCAGCCCCCGCCTCCTACTTACCAGCATGGAGTTCAGGTCCAGCTCTCTGCGGTGGCGAGTGGGGACTGCCTGAATCTCCGAAGCTCTCCAAATCAATTCCAGAGCTTCGCATTGATTCAACCTTTTTATCAGTCTCCTGATTCGATGTGGATTCAGAGGTTCGGCCACTGAATTGGGCCAAATTTCCTCCAAATCGAATCAGCACCCAAAGCTTCACACAGCCTTCCCTTTCATGTGTAGGAAGAATTCTGGAGTCAGGTAGGTTACAATGTTCCAGAAAAACAATATCAGTATTAAGTCCTTGGTTCTTAGTATTCAGCCACCGTGTGAATTTTTGTTCTTAAGTTCTCGTTTTAAAGATATACGGTAGATTTATCTTGAGCATGAGAATAGTGAGGTTAGAGGGAGTGGTTCTGGTGTGTATTTGCTGTTTAGCTTCATTATGTGTGGCATTGATTGAACATGCACATGAGAATCTAAAATTACTTTCTCTTGAATCTGCTGTTGACAATTAATACATAGCTTTACTGTATGTTCACAATATATTCTGTGCTGGCCAGTCTGACAGCACTTTTACCCACACTTGTAGCTGGAGTCATTTTATTTCTGAATGCCGTTGGACAAGCACAACAAGGAAGATGGGCTCCTATACAAAATATTAATCATGTTAATAGTGGTGTTTCTAATGAATTATTGCCCTTTTTTCAGCTTTCCAAATGAAGTTACAACCTACCTGTCAGCAACCTTTTCAAGTTGCTAAGCCAGGATGAACCAGTAGGCAGGCATTAGGACCTTTCTGCAGCCACTGCTTTTCTCGGCAACAGCACAGGGAGAGCAACTATTGCTGAAGCCCCATATACAATCATAGAAATCATAGAAAATTAGGGTTGAAGGGACTTCAGGAGGTCATGTAGTCCAACCCCCTGGTCAAAGCAGGACCAGCCCCAACTGTGTATCATCCCACCCAAGGTTTTTGTCTAGCCAGGTCTTAAAACCTCCAAGAATGGAGATTCCACACCTTCTCTGGGAAATGTGTTCCAGTGGTTTACTACCTTCCTAGTGAGAGAGTTCATCTGAGGTTTGGATTTGGCTGGCAGAACATAAGCTGTGAACTGCTATTCTAACTAGTTACCCCTGAAACATTGAGGATAACGGGTTTGCTCAGATCTCCCTATCTGACTAGTTGAACTGTTACTGGTGATGTATGTTCTTCAAACAAGAACCTGGCCTTACCTTCAGAGTCCGGGTTGATTTTGCTTGCTTGCTTGTTTGTTTTTGTAGTATAGATAGGGAGAGGAAAAAATCTTAAACTGAGCATGCTGGGCGTGGAACTCACTGAGACAAAATAAGCACGGAGTGCTGCACTACCATTTTCAGACATTTTTCATAATAGTAACTTAAAATAGTAGAAATCTTCTGATGTGACGAACACAAAATGAGAGAGGAGTTTATACATTTTTTTGAACTTTTGTTTTCTTTTCAGGAAGCTACAGGGGAGTAATTGGACTCCACTGTCTGTTTTCTCTACTTTTTCAAGTACCGGTTTGCAGTTCTTATCTGTTTCTTTAGCAGCATTATTCCAGATATGATCCCATGTGGCTTACCTGTACCTTCCCTCTGGAGATTTTCCCCCATGTTTGTTTTAGGATACCTTATGAACTCACTTTAGTCAGCTCTTTTCTCTTTTTAGAAATAGAACAAGCACATCTATTTATAAACTTACTCTAAGTGTGTTGTCTAAGAATTTTTTTTTTGTAACTTAATCTTAAAATGGTTTTCAGATACTTTCATTAGAGGGAATTCTAGCTTGTGTTCTGTACCTGATCACTCCTTATGAAGGTGGAATATATTTTGAGGATAAAAACCATTGTTGTGTTGTTAGTTACTAGCATACTGTATTTTTTTCACATATAGCATGCTTCTGCATATAGCACTTTATTTTGGAAAGACCGTCTGAAGAAAAAAACAATTGCCTTTTCTGATAATGGAGTAGCAGCAGCTAGGAAACCAACCTGTTTCCAAGCCTGCTGCCTGCCCTGTGTGTTAGATGATGCCCACAGACCATCCTAGTGCACTAGATCTGGGGCCTCACACCAAATGCTGGGTCTGGGGCCATGCAGCAGGGTCTGATCCACCATGCCAGTGCTGGGGCTGTGGTGTCATCTGACATGCCAGGTCCTCTGTGGCCATGCACTGGCTGTGGGGCTACATGCCAAATGTGGGATCATGTGCTTGTTCCAGTACCATGTTCTGGGTTGGAGCCAGCATGCCAGGTCCTGCTGCAAATCAGCCCTCCATGCTATCCTAATCTGGCATATGGTTTGGGAGGGGGATTCCCTCTGTCTAGAAATTTGGCAGTGGCGGGAGGAGGCGAAGCACTGCCAGTGTTAATTGCTGTGGCTCCCAGTGTAGTGACAACTAATGCGAGGACCACTCTGGCTCCCTCCCTTCCATCCTGAGAGTTTCCAGCCCTGGCAGAGGCCTTGTCCTTGCATATAAAACATGCTTCTGTTTTCCTCAGTTAGTTTTGGAGATTTTATGTTTTCTCTTTTATAGTCTGACTGCATATACCTACAAGTGTTATCATTCATTTCTTAAAACAGGGGGATAAAGTTTACAGAATGACCTACATTTTGTATTTAGTATTCATTTTAAAAACTCATGAACACCTATTGTTACTGGTATGCTTTGTGCTGAAGCAACAGCTACAGTAACATAGACAATAGGTCATTATAAAATCAATTATTTTCCCCCTAAGTATTTTCCTAATTATATGCCTGTGGTGCATGTTGCTGTTTACTGCTGGAAAAAATATGGACAGTTCTCTTTCTGTGTTGGAAAGTGTACTTGAGTCCAGTTTCTAGTGGTCTGTTTCTCCCTGCATTACTATACCATCATAAAACACAGCAAAACACACATATTTATCTGTTTTGTTTGTATATCATCTAGTATACTGAGAACCGTGACTGTAACATTTTTTCTTGTTGAATAAAAATATTAATAACATAACACTTGAAAGTATTTAATGCCTTCTCAACTTTTAATTTTCCCTCAACCATATTTCCATTCCTTGCTCTGATTTAATTTATCTCTAGCTGAGATACGCTTCAGAAACTTTGGTATTACTGTGTATACATTATATGTATACATTATATAGTTTTATTGGAAACACTGCTTTATTGTTATATAAATACATATTTAATGTTTATATATAAGTAATACATTAGTAATTCTCAAATGACTCCAAATGAGCTGACAGCTATTTCTTTATGAACTAGAATGCATAAGTCTAAATTGAGGATGGCAACACAGCATGGATAATTCACAAATTCCAAAAATAAATCATTGACCTTAAGCAGTGCTGAAAAATGTTGGTACCGTATACCCATTCAGATTATTCTTCTCACTTGTACTGCAGTTTTGCAATGAAGTGCTAATACAGAATTTTTTTTCAGGCAATGGTGGGTTATTCTCTTTTTTCTTTTTTTCCATGTAAATTATGATTCAGTAACTACTTAAGACAGTCAGGAGATCTCTTGCTCAAGACCTCAGTCATCATTTATTGAAAGATAAAAGATTCAAGAACATTATTTTCTTTTATTATATACCTATTGAAATAATTACTTTAAATTATTACTTCATTACTTTAAATTCTTTTAAAGCAGTTTCTGATTCATTTTATCTTGCTCTTTTAGAGGGAATTCTGGAAAGACTACACAAATGGAATTCAGGGAGAAAGTAACACTGGACATAACTGGTATTCATTTTACCTTGCATTTCCGTTAATCATTGGCCTTTTTGTTATCCTTATTGTCGCTTTTCTCGTGTGGAGATGCCTGTTTAAAAAGAAAATTCGTAGACAGTCTGCATATGTGCATAGGGGAGCACATGAAGCCATTGGTGATAGTGCTGTGGCTGCTGGTAGAAGTCCTCTCCCCCAGCCTCTCAGCATTGTTCATTCCCCACAGGAAGAAATGTATGAAGGCAGTGGTCTGTCACCAGGATTTCTGAGCTATGCAGATGGATGGTCAGACTCAATATCAACAAGACTGTCAAACGGTGACCCTCCCCCTTCGTATGAGGAAGCCACTGGGGACACCAGCATAAGAAGTGAAACTGAGCATCACTTAGATCCACCCCCACAGTACGAAGACATTATAAACTCCAGCTCATCCAATACAATCGCAATGACTCATGTTGTTACCAGCGTTAAGTAAAACAGGAGGAATACTACCAGCTTTTTAACTACGAAGAGAATTTTGTAGCACTTTATTGCAGCTTATCCATATATATAATTTAATGGTCTCATAAGGTGTACCTCTTCTCTGTTGGGTTTCCTTGATGCATTTTTCCATGCCAGTTTTGAAGTTGACAGCATGGAGCAGGTACAGATGTGGTTCATACTGCCCAATACCCCATTTTCAGGAAAGCCATTTAGTCTGAATGATGTCAGTGTTGCATACAGACTTAGTGTCTCCTCCCTTCTGGTGCTGAAAATTGTCAGAAATAAAGAATCTATAAGCAGAAATTGTAGAGAAAATATTTCTTGCTATAGGAGCAAATTTTATGGCATCTCAAGTTTCTTGCCTGAGTATTTTTTTCCCTTTTCATTTAGAGTTTTCATTACAAATGTCATTGTACATTTCAGCCTTAGACTACTGAGAATAGTATGCCATTGTGTGGCCAACCAAAAACAACTAGGTATCCTAGCTTGACTATGATACTTCCACAGCCCTACCATTATTAGAGGGATTTCATTAACTGAAGAATTTTGGAACATGAGGTCAACTACTTGCAGAGAAGCAAAAAGTTAAGTGATGGTTGCAATTAGAAAAGAGCCTGCTTTTCCTTATCCTTCCTTGTAGTCCTGATTGTCACAGTGTAGTCTAGAAAAAAATACGCAGGTACTGTAGTACTTGAAAATACAGATGGGAATTAATAATCAACAAGTGCTAAAGATACCAGCTAAAATCCTGGCACCCTGGAATCCCATTCCAAAACTGCCACTGACTTTAATGGAGCCAGGATTTCATCCATAGTTTGTAAAATTAATCACTGCAAGGGCAGGGGAGCTGGTTGCTAGGAAATAAATGGAGGCAGGAGGGCAACCATCAGTTGCTGCATTGTAAGTACCTGTATACATACTCCTATCCTGCAGTATATGAAAGCTGAACCATGGAAGTTCAGCCCATATCAGCTCTTTTGTTGAGAGCTGAGCTATCACGGTTTAGTTTTCACATCTACCACAGTGTAAAGCAGGCAGTTGTTCCTGGTGAGGTTACCCAATATCTCATTTTACCTCACTGCAACTGACTCATGTACAAATACTCCAAGATGGAAATTTTTGTTAAAAAGGAAAAAGAGGGAAAGCTTTTACCAGTTTTCTTTAAAAGCTGTAGGGAAAATGGTGTCCTCTTGCTTTCTTAAATGATTTGCAGCTGTCCGTGTTTATTTTGTGCACTGGTAGTTATGATATTTCAATATGGATTTGCTATGGATTTCAATATCCATTTCACCAAAAGGATGTATTGGTTACTGCTGCAACAAGGTTTTTTACCCGGAAAGTTAATTTTTTATACATTCTTGTATATTCTCAAAAGCAATTAAAATACAAGTTTAGCATGTCTATCTAAGACAGGAATTTTGAAAGCAAATTTTTTTCTGACTGTGAATACATGTCAGGACTTAATTTATTCAGGGATTATAGAGGTGCAGATTCATATGAAGCTAAATACTAATTTAAACTGTTTGAATATCTATATTAAACAAACCAGCCTGGAACCTGAATTGGTTAAAAAGGATGAACCCTTGGTGTAGTGTGTTTGTGTACCCCATTTCAGGTTAACTAATAAAAATCCATTTTGGCTTTTTCCCTCGCAAAGAAACCTGTTGCAGGAGATTTAGGGCTGTTCTGCAGGCATTTTAAGCTCTAATTTAGTATTATTCAGCCCAATTTTAAAATTTAAGTGTGTAACTTGTTGCTGTGCCGTATTGGCTTCCTTATGACAATGGAAATCCAAAATACATCTTGTTCTGCGGAGCCCCTTTTTTTGTCAGTAACGTTCTAGCTCACTATGTCTTTAATAGCATGCATTGGTTATTATAGATATGGACTTGGATCACAATTTTGGTTTTGGCTTGTCTTTTTTCTCTCAGAAATATATGTGATTGAAAATTATTTCAGGCAGTTAACTCAGATGTGTATATATAGATAGATAAATAGATACGAGTTAACTGCCTGAAATGTGTATAAGACAATTTACTGATAAATGAGATGGAGGTCCTTTTTAATTCTCTCTAACCTCTTTCATCAAACATTTTGGTGGTGTATGTCATCAGTCCTCTCTAACGAGGAGAGCTTCTATTGGCAAAGCTGATTCCAGAGTGCATTAGAATTGATGGGTGAGCTACAGACTGTCATCTACTGTCAAATAGATCATTGTTTATTTGTAATGCTGGACCTTTTGTAGGTAAATGCAATATATAGTGCACATCCACTCTATTTAGCACCAGTGGGGCCCAGCACTGTAATAACACAGATGAATGCCCAGGGCACAGGGGGCAGCAGTGACTTCCAGTTGCTGCCAGTGGCCGTCTTTCACCCACCCTTCCCACCCCTACCCAGGTAGCACCCAGGGCAGTTGCCTTGGTCACACCACCCTAGTTATGGAACCTCACCTGGGGTACTGTGCCCCTCCTACCCTCCGCTTTCAAGAAAGAAGTGTACAGATTGGAAAGAGTCTAGCATAAAGCCACAAAAGTTGTTAGGCGTCTAGCAAACATGCCTTATGAGGACAGGCTGAAAAAACTAGACATTTTGTTTCTGGGCCATCTGAAGTTCTTTCTCTGAAGTGAATTAAATTCTTATGAAAAGTCCTAGGTTGGTGGCTGTTGAGATTTAAGTTATTTCTGGATAGCACAACCATTAATATATATTGCCAATCCATTATGCCTCATCTCTGACATGCAGGGAGCACCTGTAAGGGGGGAGAATTGTTCATTTTCCATGCCAACAACAAATATTGGCTTCTTTTGAGCCACAAATGGGGCTGCCAGTTGTAGGGGAGACTTTATTTAACATAGGAACTCCATAGAGATCACCCATTTCAGGTAGATTACTAAGCAGCTGTCAAATAAGCTCTGTAACAGTCTAGTCTAGAGAGAGGCCAGTAACTGCTGGGTATGCCACTACCAGCTTTTACTGTCTTATTTATCCATTTCTTGAACTAAAATTGGTTGTTACAACATAGAGATATTTTATTTGCAATACAGCAGTAATACTTTTCCAATATTTTCAAATAAAAAGACCAAACATTGAAAATGCTCCATGACTGTAGTTTTCTGGGTTATGTTGTTGATCAAAAACACCATACAAACACAGTTTTAAATTCATTAGCCAAAGTTCTCAGAGAATACTTTTGCACAGTTAAACAAAATCATTGCATATAGAAACAATGTTAAGTGCTCTTTCTTCTACTAAGGCACAAGTATCTTTTCTATGTCAGAAGGATTTCAAATTACAACATATTTCTTACCTTTTAAAAGCATTCTGTTAAATGTAAGAAGTTGCAATTTTTTTATGCTTGGCCTTTCTGATTTGACTGAATGGTATTAATATGTCTGGAGTTTTTTTATAAAGCTTACTTTTTGAAAACTACAGTAACTATTTTTTCTTCAGCTGTAATGATTCTTCTGCAATAAAAAGGATTTACAGCCTTACCTCACAGTATGTTTTTCAAGTGTCAACATGCAATGCAGTCTGGAATGATTACCAGAATAGACAGGGTATTGCTTTCCCTGCTTTGAATGTAACAGCGAGTTGCATCTTGTATACAACTAAAATGATTTATTTTCTGATGACTAACTTGCATATGGGTGTTATTGTTTAAGAAATTATGGAAATTAAATATTGGCTTAGCTAGTGTTTAATACGGACATCTGTGGAGATAATCTGGTCTTCACTGCATGTAAATAACCTCTATTTGATTACAGTATTAAATATTTTTAAGAGATTTGGTTTACATTAAATTATGATATTTAAACATTTTGCTTATCTTTCTAGAAGAAATTTTCAGTGAATGTTTGTTTTGGGGGTATGCTAAATAAAGCTCTCTTAAAATTCATTTGATGTCTGTATCAGTTCTTTCTAACTAGAGTAAAATTATATTATGAATTGTGGGTTTTATTATAGAGGTTGATTTCTGTTATATTGTACATGTAATCTTTCATAATGAAAATTGTTTTCATTAAATATCTCTGATTTTAGGGTATCAAAATGGAAGAGTTTGTGTCTTCTCAAAAAAGTCGCATTTGTGACAGAATTAAGTTACTTGCCATGTCCAAATAAAGTGTTTGTTATAAATAAGCCCAGATGGAGACCCACATTTAGAGACAGAATTAAGATTATTTTTCTTGCATTGGCCAAGAGGACAGGGCATTGAAAAAAAGCTGAAGTATTTAATTTTAAAAAAGAGGGGGGTGGGGCTTCAGCCATAGTATTTGGCTGAATCTTGGTTCATTATTAGGAGAAATTACCTACCTTATCCACGGAGCTGATAAAGAATTCTGCATTGGTACCAGACAAAAATTGACAACAATGAAAAATCTTACATCTACGCTATGATGCCCCAACTGAATTCCTGGGAAAGCAAAGAAATCTGACTGCAAAACAAAGAAAAATATTTTTTGATTAGATCGTAATTGTTTAGTTTGCTGCCATTAAAAAAGGATATTTCACACTAATTTAAATTTTAAAAATATCACCTGAATCCCAGAGGAAATCTCAGTAAAGCATGGTTGACTACACATTTTAGAACTAAATCAACACCCAGTGTGGATTCGTTTATTTAATAACAAAAGTGGAGAAAATGAAGATCATGAAACAGCAGCCCATATATAAATGGCAGCAGGAATGTTGGCTAGGTGATTATTTTAACACTTTCTTTGACACAATTCAAAGCAATGCCATTAAATATTTTATTCTCTATTAAGTAACAAACTTTATAAATATACATTGTTGTGTGAAAATGTATGCAAGTGTCAGCTCTGATGAATGTGCTTGTCAGTGTAACATATAAGCAGCTACATTTTGGATGGCTGTATTAACATATTTAGTGTACAGTGTAACCTATAGCATGGATTTTGATACCTGTAAAAATCAAATATTCATTCTGAGCTACTTATTCTAGTACACATTATTTACTGGTTTATATGTCTCAAACATTTTTATCTGCAGTTCTAAATCAAGGTGATAGATTATTTTTATTATTCCTTGTATAATACGAACCTCATAAATATTTCCAAATGCTGCTTTCTGTTTTTTTTGTTTTGTTTTGTTTTGTTTTTAAAGAAGCAAAATCTGACTTACTTGAAAGTGGTGAGATAGCATCTATACTGTTTTATTCCTTACCCATCATTGCTATGTGCTCATTTGATTGATTTGCCAGAGGGTGAGTGAGCCTTGAGCTTTGCCAGCAATCTGAATTGCACTTCCTTCCTATGCTAAAATCAGCTGTCCTGATCTTTGAGACATGTTTTGACTTGGAGGTAGCTTGCTGCCAAATGGGAAGCATGGTAAGTAATGGCTAACACATGAATTTTGAGTTTGAGGCAGCTGTTCTAAAACAATCTCCATCCCATGAGTAATGGTACATAGCCTTTCTTTAAGGAACTTTTTAATTATCTCAAAAAAAATCTAGCTCTAATATTGGAATATCTGTGACCCTTCCTGCTACCTCTCAGTACATAGTGTAACAGAATGGTTTGTGACCTAATCTGCTTTCCTTTTTCCTGTTTCTTTAAAAAAAAAATGTTAAGGAAAATTAACCTTTATTTGACTCAAGCATTAAACATTTTGTAAGTTTATCTGGGTTGGGTATAAAAACAATTTTTCCTACTTAAATCCAGGTGGAAACAACTCTCGTACTCTTGCTACACTGCTTTTGGCTGGATCATCATCTTCCATGGGAGAAAGAGGGGATTACTGGGACAGGAAAGGAGAGCCAATAGCAGAGAGCTCACTAGGATGAAATCTCTGATCCCTTACATCAGCAGTCTCCAACTTTTTAGTATCCGGGGCTGGAACAGCCCAGCTTGGGTCTGAGGTGGACCACTGTTCAAACCCAATCTAGCCATCACTTCTTTCCACCTCCTGGCTGCAGTATAGGCCCAGCGCATTGCCACCTGGCACAGGCAAATCCCCTAACAGCAGAAGCACCTAGTCTACAGGTCAGATTCAGGGGCAAAATGCCTTTGTACCTAACCTGGTCCATTTTATATTCCTAATATAAAAGCTTTGTGTCTATGCTGCCTTCAGGTGTAAAGGAAGGTGGGAGTTCACTGAATTCCTCTCATGAATGCTCCTGGCTTGTGAGGGGCAAGGGAGGGTCTTCTCCTGAGGATGTTGCCCACAGATAAGGCTATAGGTGGAGGGGAGTTGACTTGGGAGCACTAGTGCTCCTGCTGATGCTTCGAAAATCCAGAGGCTGGTGAGTCTTCCCTTCAGGGTCATACTGATCACTGCATTTGGAGTAGGAAAGGGGTTTTCCCGCTAGAGAGTCTGGCACAGACCACTGAGGGAAATCTCCTTCCATTGTAGCAGGGGGCATGGGCCTTTTCCCATGCCTCCTAAAGATCTAATGATCTTTAGATGATTAGTAACCATGTACTTCCCTTTCATTGCAGTAACAGGGCACTGGCAGTGCCTTAGTCTCCCCTGCTTTACCTATACCATGTTACAGGGTAGTGGTGGCCAACCTTTTGGCAAGTGTACCACTAGTTAAGCCCTTTCTCTCCCCAAGTGCCACTTGGGGTTGTGACATGCGTGCAGCTCCCCATTGTAACTCATGGTGTTTTGCTGGAAGGATCATTAGTTACAGCATTCCCCCTGACCCAACAGACATTTGCTGTTGGGTCCAGGGGGCTGGGGAATTCAGCTCTAGTTTGGAGTGGCTGTGTGGCTGTAGCCACTCTCCTCTAGCCCTGCTCCCCGCTCCCATGCTGTGTTCAGACTGGGAGGGAGAAGAGCGAAGAGGGAGCTCAGTCTGGGGTTTGCCTGGCCTGCTCTGGAGGATTGGGGTGGGTGGATTGGAGTACCCCCTGAGGCAGGGGGGCTCTAATCCACCCGCCCCACTCTCCAGCACAGACTAGGCAAGCCCCAAACTGAACTCCTTCCCCTCCCTTCCCCCCTCCCAGTCTGAAGACAGTAGCAGAGGCAGTCCCAACATACAGTGACAGACCTTAATGAATGCACTTTGCTTCAGAGCACCTTCATCTGAACCGTCATGTAATGAGGATTCAAATTGTCATGTGATTGGGTACTTCTGAAGTGCCCTGCAGCCATGCACTTCTGTAAACAGGGAGCAGGGAGAGAAAAGGATGGTGGCCAGTCTTACCAGGAGACAGACTACTGCTGTTTTGTGTCCTCCACCTGGCTTCTGTGGTCAGGCACCATGGGGCTGTCCCTCTTCCCTCCAGCCCCATTCCTCTGGATGGACAGCATGGGCTCGGACCTCCCCCCATCCCTCCAGCTAGGCAGCACAAGGTTGTTCTTTCTCCCATCCATCCAGCTGGACAGTAGGGCTGTGCGAAGCTTTGGGTGCTGATTCAATTCAGAGGAGATTCTGCCTGATTTGGTGGCCAAATCTCCATATCCAAACTGAATCAGGGGACCAATAAAAAGGTACAAATTGATTTGAAGCTCTCTGAATCTATTTGGAAAAGATTTGGAGAGCTTTGGCAATTCGAGCAGTCCCCACTCACTGCCGCAGGGAGCTGGAGCCAGACTCCAAACTGGTAAGTAGGGGACAGGGGAGGGGACCATGGGGGGACCCCTGCCAGGCCCCATCCCCTGCCTGATCCCTCAGCCCCCCATGGCTACCCCACCCACCACAGCTCCAGGTGCTTTAAAAAAAGCCCAGACTCACCCACTGCCTGGGGGGGGTTGATCTCCACTGCCCCACACCATGTGGGGGACTCTGCCACAAGCCCCCCAACCCTCACCACTCCCCCAGCCTCCCCCCCCCCACCATGGCTGCCCTGCCCACCCCAGCTCTGGGCTTTTAGGCAAATAAAACAAAAAAACCCCTGCACTTAGCGGTTCCTGCAGCAGTCTTAGGGCTTCCAGGGGCTTGTGCAGAGACCCCACATGGTGGGGGGCAGCGGAGATTGTACCTTGCCAGGCAGGAACTGATGACCCCAGGGTTTTCTTGTTTGTTTTTTTGTTTCTTACAGGGCCAGGGCAGGCATGGAGGGCTGGGACAGCAAGGGGGTCAGGGGGTTCATGGCAGCATGGGGCAGTGGGGAATCACGCCCCACCCCCCTCCGGCAGCGCTCGGTGGGTCAAGGCTTTTTTTCTCAGAGCTGGGGTGGTCAGGGCAGCCATTGCCAGGTTGGGAGAGTGGGCGGGGGATGGGCCTGCGTGACTCAGAGATTCGGCAGCAGCAGAATCTCTGAATCGGGTTCGGCCAAATCAATTCAGGACAGTGATTCGAATCACCGAATCGAATCACTGTCCCCTGAATCAGCTGAATCCAAAGCGAATACTAGCTGCTTTGCACAGGCCTACTGGACAGTGCTGTGCTTTCTTCTATCCCTGCTCTGGCCAGAAGGGGACAGGCTGTTCCCTTCTTTATCCCTCCCTCTGCCTGGATGGCACGGGGTTGTCCCCTCCTCCTGGCCAGGAGGAAAAGTACTGTTTCCTGTCCCTTCACTCTGACCAGACAATACAGGGCTTTCCCCACTCTGGCCCGGCAGTGTAAGTTTGTTGTCTTCCCCCACCATCCCATCTGGCCAGCAGTGCAATGCTGTTCCCAGTTAGCTCCTCTGACTGAGCCAAGTTTGCAGCGGAGTGACTCACCAGGTGAGCAAGATGCAGTGGGTGCGATGGGCTTAGCCATCCTGGCACCTGCTAGCCTCCCAGCCAGGGCAGTGTAGACCCCTTCCCTCTTCATTGACAGCCCTGTTCCCAGCCCTCACATGCCACACACAGTGCCTATGTGTGCCACTTGTGGCACGCATGCCATGAATTGACCACCCCCATAGGTTGCTTGGTATTTGGGATATTGTACCTTATATTTGAGGGTTTGAAGTTATGACTTGGGGGATTCCTTCAGTTAACAATTGC